TTTCCTTTCCTATATTTGTGTTATCTCAACATACACACATGGTCTTTTTAAGTAGATGTATTAGCGTTCCACTTAATTTATGATCATATTTTTGTATTGTCTACCCAAGAGGTGATCCGGAAAACATTACTGTGTTGAAATTTTACCAGGTTTACTGGTGGCATCAGTATGTGTAGGTTCGAGGTGATACTTCACTGTCAGCACATGGTTGGGGGATGGTGGAGAGTGCTAGCACACATCTTAACTCTTTTTCTTCTGCTCTTAGAGAGTGTATTAAATACATTCTTTTGATGCTTGGAAGCATTCAACTTAGGCTTGTCAGTCTTGGTGATCATGACCTTGTGATATATTCCGATATAAAGAGTCTTCTAACTCTATTTCCTTCCACTTTTCTTTTACTTTATTTCTTCTGTCAGCACATTTCGTTTCCATTATAATGCTTCTGTTCTCTCCTTGCTCAAGTTTCTTTCCTTCTTTCCCTCTCAAACAATATCATACTCTTATTGCATTTCTAACACTGATAGTTCTATTTACTTTTGATTGGCGAATTTCACCTTTAATTCACCTGTATTGCCTTTAAGCAGTGCATTGGTCCTTTGATGATATTGGTTGTTTTAGGACCATTTGTTGACTTATGGGTTATCTGTCAACCAGCTTCATAATTCCTGGATGACAAATGAATTGGCAGTCCTTTAAATTCTAACTAAAAGGCTACTGATAGCTGTTTGTCAGTTTTGCAAAAATAAACTTAAATACTTGGAGAAAGCTAAGTGATTAGAATGAGCAGTTGTGAGAAAAATAAAAGTATAATTCCATTTTTAAATAAAATGAATATAATTATTTTTTAATATCCTAAACTTATCTAATTTTCCTACTGTCTATACACAGATGCTAAGAAAGTTAATAAACCTAGAAAAGCATTTTTTGGCATTGGCATGAAACTAAGTACATGAAGCATTCCCTTTGCTTTTAGAATTCCCTTATGCAGTAATGACAAACATAGTACTTCTTAAATTGGAATTTTAAAATTGGAATCTAGCTTTCTCATGATTGGAATGTAACCAAGGCCCCACTGTGCCCACTGCTTATTAGTTAAGTTTAGTTAAACCTAGTCTACGTGGCTTTTCATTTTTGCAAGTAGCGTTTTTTTCTTAATCTAACTTTGAAACAGTTTCCAAAGAGATTAACATATCTAGTGGGAAAGAAACCTGATTACTCTGCATTCTGTTACTGTAGTATGCATTTGAAACAGTGAATGAACAAGCGAGTATTGCTACCTTTCTGGTCATTTATTTAACAAATATTTATTGAACACTTAACTCTGTACCATTCTACTATGTTAGGTATTAAGATGCAGTGTTGAATAAAACAAGATACTTGTCCTTCATTGATTTTATAACTTACTGGGAAAAAGACACATTAAAGATAATCAGATCAAAAGTAAAATATTAAACTTAAAATAATGGTCATAAGTTCTAGAAGCACTGTAAGTGCTTATAATTTGGAACTTTGACTCTAGGGAGGCCAAAAAGGACTTTATTGAGAAATGATAACTGAGCCAAAAGTAAAAAGCCTAGAAGACATTAACAAGTTGACATTGAAGGAAAGAGCATTCCTACCAGAGAAAACAGCAGGTGTGAAGATGTGAGTGTGATAAGGCTGAAGGACTAAAAGAAGGCCTATCCAAAGAACAATTGGAAACTATTGAAGAGAGGTAAATAAAGGTGTGACACGAAGTCTGTGTGTTAAAAATGTATTCTTACTGAGTTATGGATAACTGATTGGTGAGGGACAAGAGTGGATATAGAGAAACCAGTTGCCATTAACTCAACCAGGAGATTTAGGAGGTCAAGATAGAAAAAAAATGGTACAGTTTGAAAGATAACTAGGAGATAAAATTAATAGGGCTTGGTAATAGATTTATTGTGAGAGATTTAGAAATGACAGTTACTTATAATGAGCCCTAAGTTGGTTTTGGTTCATAACTGAAAGGATTGTTCTATTCCTTAAAACATGAAACACTAAAAAAATGGGGGGCGGGGGCAATCCGGTTGAGAGTGAAGAACATAAATTCAAGTGTGAAATGGAGGTGATTTTAAGCATACTCTAAAGGAAGTGTTAAGTAGACAGTTGCAAATTAGAGTCTGGAGCTAAAAGTGAAATCTCAGCTGAAGGTAGAAATTTTTCAGTCATCTTTATTTAGGTGGCACATTGAAGCAATATACACATATAAGGTCACTTAGGGCTAAAAAATGTATCATGAAAGGAAGAGCTGGTCTAGGACTGTCCATTGAACTCTTAACATTTCATGACTGATTAGAGGTGGATGAGCCTTCAAAGAAGACCAAAATGGAATGGTTAGAGAGGAAGAAGGAAAACCATGAAAGTATTCTGGCATGTGTCATGGAAGCCAAGGGAAAAGTATTTCAAGAAGGAGAAAATGGAAAACAGTGTCAAATACTGCTGAGATTTCAAGTAAAATGAAGTCTGAAAGATTCCTTTAGAATTCAGAGACTTAGAAATCATTGATATCCTGGACACCACAGATGAATTCCACAAACGAATTATGTGGCGTGCAGAAATGGAGATAGTGAGTTTGAACATCTCTAAAAGCTTGACTTTGAGGCAATTGAAGAGAGTGAGTGGTCCTAGTGAACTTTGTAGTAAGGCTCTTTTGTCTTTAATGAAAACGATTCAAGCATGATAAAAATTAGTCGGAAACAGCCATTTAAGAGACTGGCAGTACTAAAGTAAAGAGATAGTCTTTGGTAGCGGTCCTCAACTTTTTTTGAACCAGGGACTGGTGCTCCTTTGAGAATCTAATGCCTGATGCTCTGAGGTAGAGCTGAGGCACTATTAGCACTGGGAAGTGGCAGCAAATACAGATGAAGCTTTGCTCCCCCACCTGCCACTCACCTCCTGCTGTGCAGGCTGATTCCTAACAGGCTACGGACCTATACTGCTCCTCCAGGTTTTAGGGACCCCTGGTTTGTAGTAAGGGTTCTAGGATGGCAGAAAGGATGGGATCCAAAGCACAATTGAAAGATTAACCTCAAATAGGTGTAGTTATTTTATTGTAACTTTATTAATGAAAGAGGGTGGGTGATGAAAGTAAAGTTGCATTCATGGTAGTAGAAAGGTGATGGTTCCCGTCTGATGTTTATTTTCTCCATCAAATTGAGAGAGATGAAGAGGAAAGTCAGTTGTTTTAGGAAAGTAGGCACAAGTTTAAAATAGTCATTGTAGACTATGTAAGGTTGCTAGGAAGTATATGGAGCCCATTCAAAGTTACATATGATGAATTTATAGTAGATCAAAAGTTTCAAGTATTTCCTGGCTTTTGTGGTGCTGTGATAAAGAACTCAGAATGTTGTTTTCATCCTAGATTAACGGAAGGGATTGCTAACCAGAGGGATAGGGGAGTTTAAGGTATTGGCAAGTGTTGATCATGTACCTAAACTGGACAAAAGAAAAAAGAAAAGGACTAATGTTTGAGAGAAAGAATAGGGACCAATGAATTGCTGATCCCAGTGAAGTTATAAACAATTGTGGTGGGTGGAGTTGAACAAGCAAGCTGATAGAAGTTGTGATCTCAATGTGTAGTATTTGAATTGATGGTTTTAGAAATAGAATAGTTATGAGTGATGACAAGGACTACCATGTGACTATGGAAGTAGGTGAATGAGATGGAGGAGATTAAGTCATTAGAAAAGAAGAAGTCAAGGATATAATATTGGATGGGTTATTCAAGTGGACATCTACATCACCCAGAATGAAGACAAAGCTTAGGGTGGAGAGAAATTGTAAGTTGATTGCCAGTATCTTCAATGGAATACAAGGAGGTGAATGATATTAATGAAGGATAAGAGAGAGTGTTGCAGCCAAATACAGGAGCCTTAAAGAAATAGGATGATATTTATATTCTTATTTTGGCAAGAAGAATTTGAGGAATTGTGTGTGTCGGGCACTCTTGCAAGGCACAGAAAACACTAAATATCGCAGAACCCTTGACTTCTAGGAGTATACAGGCTATAGAGAAAGATAGCCACATAAGCAATTAGTGACAATACAGTGAGATAGATGCTACCTACAAAGTATATGGGGAATGCCAAGGATGGAGTGGTTATCTCTAACTGAAGAACTCATGGAAGATTTCACAAGAAAGATTATATTTGAACTGAATTTTATGTGGTTCCTAAAGTGGAGGAGAGGAAGAATGACATTACAGAAGGAATTATAAGATACATTGCTCCTAGCAATGATAGACAAAACATAAACTCAAAATGATAGCATCCCATTGCAGTAAGTACTAGTATAATATGTAGTTCTTTATTATTAGAATATTTCCATCTCTTGGCCAATAATTCTATTTTTATGGTCACAGAGTTCAGCGTTGTTCTCTAATGGGATAATTTAAATGTTAGCTGTGTGTGTGTGCGTGCGCGTGTGTGTGTGGGTGCGCTCATGTCCACCCGCACTTGTGTTTTTGCCATTTCTTTTAAAGTTATGCCTTAAATAATTTATTCCAAAAAATATATGCAAGGGATACTCTATAAACAAATAAAATATAATCATTTTCACATATTTGTTTTTGTTCATACAAACACTATTCAACAAATTAAATTTCCACCATTATGGGTGAAGCTCTGTTTTAAACCGCAAGGATGCAAAGATGAATGTGACATTCTGATTTCAAGGAACTCACAGGTTTATTATGTGCCAAGTCCAATAAGACATGTGTAATATTAAAGTGCAAATCACTGGGTATGCTGTGTCTTTAAAAAATCATAACTTGTTTCTTAAGTCCTCAGACACATTTTTAGAATGTTGATTTATTCCTTTATTCCTTTGTTTATGGAAGAAGTTTGATTTTATCAAACTGATAAAAATTTTAACAAAAATTTGGTTAAACTGGTACGTAGTCTATAATAGGAAGACTCAAAATAAAGTATGTTTCTTTTTAATTAATAGCCTTTCTAATTTTGACTTTATTCTCAAAGGTCGTGAAGATGAGAAAAGAAGTGAAGAGAATCCGAGTTTTGGTTATCCGAAAACTTGTCAGGAGTGTTGGCAGACTGAAGTCAAAAAAGTTAGTCATTTAAAGTAATGGTCCTATGACTAATAAAATGTCAAAAGTTGTTTTTACTCAGTATTTACAAAATCTGAGGGTGGGACCTAGAGGAATAATTAAATATATTACTCATACAGCACTTCGTTTTATATTTAGAAAATATCTGAGTGAGATAAAATGTGCTGTTTCAGCATGTCCTTACATGGTTTGACCCACATTCACTTAAGGTACATGATGAATTCTTCTGTTTTTTCAAAACTCTTTTCGACCTTTTCAGAATGAAAGTTTTTTAGGGTTATGTATGTGTTTCGTATTATTAAAATTTATTTTAAGATGTTGATAAAGTTTAATAAATCTAGTAATACTTTGAATCAATTATAAAGATTTTATATCACTTTATTTCTCAAATTGTTCATTTGAAATCTTCAGTACCTTATAGAAGTATTTATCAATATCTTGAAAAAATAGTATTTTATATTTTCATTATCACAAGTATTATAGGAAAAGTATGTTATTTATAGTTTTTATGCTCTAAGCATGTTTACAAAGTATTCAAATGTGCTTTATTCCTGAGTAATTTCTTGTGCTTTCTTTCATAAATGTTTCAGATCTCTCTCTTCTCTGACTTAATCAGATATGTGCCATCTTTTTGTATTTAATTGCAGAGAACAAATTTTCATTTAATGAAATTATTTCCATCCTTTAATTGTAGCATATGGAACTTACATTAAATACAATGTACTATTACCCGATTGATTGAAAAGTACTATTTGGCCTTCTCATTAAAGAATTAGAAGGCAAGCTGTCTGTCAGTTGTAGTAGTTATTAATATGCCAGGACGGTGCTTATTTTTGCCAAAAACTTGGGTTCATTGGTGAATTGAAGTATATGTTAGGTAGGGAGAAGATACGGTAGCATGACAGTGTTATTTTGAGATTTATCATGCTTTTCTAAAAGAAATGAAGAGACTTTTTATTATAAGTCTATAATAAATGCTTTTCCTGGCTATATATATAATGTTATTTTTGCAGGGGTACCGAAGATGCACTGTTAAAAAACCAAAGACGGGCCCAACGATTGCTTGAAGAAATTCATGCCATGAAGGTAAGGAATTGTGTGGGTATTGTATAGGTATGTTTCTGAGTCTCATGTCAGCCTGCATTTGTGTATGTGTGATGTTACTTACTTGAATATTACTGCAAATTTACTAAGACGTATTTTATGGGTTTGTTTGGTGAATAATGTAACACATTTAGAAAATCGTAATATATTTAAGCTTGCATTTTTCCATGTTTTTTTATTGAATTTGTTAAAGTACTAGACTAATTTGAGTCAAAACTATGCCAAACTAAACTCAATCTATGTTTAATAATGCCTCATGCCTAAGGTTTTTATTTTTACTGTAACTTTAGGCATGAAGTCTAAGTTAAGTTCAAGAATTAAAGTGGTCATGCTGTTTGGTAATGTAGATGGGGATATTGGTGGCTGACATCATGCTTCGCCTATTGCCAACTCAATAAATTTTTGTGTGGTGGTGTCAGCATTTTATTCAGCTCTGTAGTAACTTGAAATAAAATTAGTGTTGGACTAAAATGATCTGTATTTGTGTTTCTTTCAGCCAGACTCTTCACTAGAATAATTTTTAGGTCTTCTCACTGCTCTTACTTTGTGGAAACTTTCATTTACCAAATGACATACTATTAAATGTCTGGGAGACTTTTATTGCAGAACTTAAAAACAACATTTGGTACCAGCAATTATCTTAATTGCAGGGTCATTTTGCATGTATGTTTGACTTTTACATTTTGGTATAACCTCCAAGTTTTGAGATAACTAAAAGAACGATAGAATTCTTTAAAAATATTTTAATTGAATTAGATTATCAGAGTTTTTCACCATTTTTTCCTTTTGAAGGAATGGTAAAATATTTTATAGGTCAAAGTTATCACAGTTAATCTGAATAGAAACATATGGAGGACATGATTCTACTTTAGTGTGAGGAATTTTTATTTGTTTTATTTTCACAGGACCACAAAATTCATGAAATCCATTTGATATCTTCTTTCCCAAAGTTTTAATCCCCTTTTTTTCCAGTCATTCAGTCAAAATATTCTGTTTGCCTCTTAATATCATTTGTGTCACTTACGATTACACATCCCTTACGTTTTTCGTATACCTTTTTTTCCCCCATGAAATTCCTATGAGAAATAAAATCTTTAGAGATTTTTGTTTTGAAAATAATATTGTTAGGAATTATTATATATCCCTTTGTCTCTTTCACGTTCTCTTAACCAAGTTTCTTAATAAATTATTGCATTCCTAACCTAAATTTTTCCCTGTAATTTTTTCTGAATAGTTATTTTTGTAGTCCTAAATTATTCAGAGACTTTGAGCTATTATATAATTGCTGATTTTATTTTACCGTGGAAAGGATACCTTATATATAATAAGCCCATATGCAGTCTATGGCCATGCCACCCTGAACAAGCCTGATCCCATCTGATTTTGTGAAGCTAAGCAGAGTCAGGCCTGGTTAGTACTTGGATGGGATACCACCTAGGAAGACCAGGTGCTGTAGGTTTAAAAAATAAAAAAATAAGGGATTGTAAGCTGACAAGGTCATTGCAATCTATGAGGTCAACCAAGGGTAGCCTCGTCTAAAAAAAATTAAAAAATTAAAGAAAGCCTATATGCAGTATACAAAGAGTTTGAAAACGAAAGATAGTCATTAATCTTTAGAATACTTTCCTTCTGTTTCTATCAATAACGGATTTAATTTAATCAGAAAGAAAAGTTGTCCTGTTTGATCTGTATATGAAACTTGTTTTCTGTTATTCTTAAAACCTCATCAGCAATAAGAAATCAGACTCAGTGGTAAAGTTCATGGGTTTATAAATTACTGCGTCATAATGAGAGTTTTCTTGTTTGTTTTTCTCTGCTTTTTTTCTTGTGATTATATATATAAGACCACTGTGGACTTGCTGCCTCATAGAAAGCTGAAATTTATAACCTATGTAGTCTTGGAATTTATAAAATTGATAGTGTGTGTGTGTGTGTGTGTGTGTGTATTCCTTGAATTTGTGGCAGTGATTAGGGTGGTCTGAATTGGATGCTCTGAATTCATCTTTTTTGAAATGCTGTTTAAAAGCTGGATTAAATTTAAATATAAAAACCAGAGGAAAAAAGTCTATATGTTTGCTTTTCTTATATGTCAAATTTCATTGCTTATTTATGATTCTTTTACAAAACGGGTCTACTTTTCTAAAAGAAGCAAATACATAGAGCATTTTTTTAAATGAAAGGTCATTGTAATTTCTTAAGTGTTTATCATTTACGTGGGAGTATCAAAGAAATAGTCAGAAAAGAGAAAATTCACAGTCTCAATTAAATTTAAGGAAAAACCTCTAGTTATTCGTTTCCTCAGATGAATTTTTTTTCCTTGGTTCATATACCACTACATTTTTATAGTCTTGTTCATGACATACTGTCCTATACTTGTTCTCTATGATAATAGGGTATTTTGTTGCAAGATGACTTCCTCAAGAAGAAAACTTGAGATATTTTTAGAAATGGGAGTTTGTCTTTTCTGGCCAAAAGGAAAAAAAAAAAAAAAAAGCCCTGATCTTTATGATACCATAAAAGCATAGGTTCCATTTTTATAGACTGTAATGCATGAATACCAAGTCTTGGCTGTCTTTTCTAATAGTATTCTTACTTTTAACTTTACTACTAATATAAATTCTGGCTTCTGAAACAGGTTTAGTTTTTCTTTGGAAATTGAAGTAGCTTATCAACTTTTATAGATCCCTAAGTTGCTTAGCTAGGGAAGCATAGAGTAAAATTAAGACATGTACTGACATTAGTCTAAATATACATGAAATCCCTTCCTCAATAATAACAGTAGTATAACTAGCTTTTACTGAATATTTACTATGTGCCAGATACTATATTTTATGTTTTATCATCACCATCTCATGAGGTAGATACCATTATTATTCCTGTCTTTACAGAATAGGAAACCAAGGCTTAGAGAAGCTAAGCAACTCGGCCAAGGTCAAATAGTTGTTAGGCTTTATAACTGATTATAAAGCTAATGGTGTTGAACACTTTACTGTACTGCTTCAGTAAGACTAGAGCTTCTGAAATATATCTATATTCTACCCTCCTAGAGATTGAGTGAGGTACTATAATAAATATGATACTTGCCCTCTAGAGAAAAAAGGCCCAAAGATGTACAACATGTTTTTAGATTCTTTAATTCCTCATAGCTAAATACATATACTCAGTTAACTCTGCCTTTTTTTCATTTTAACTTCCTTCTCTCTGAGACTGTTACTTTCCCCTATACAATGAGAACTTTTATATTCTTTGACACCTTGCTCTTCCTGCTACCCTTACTTCCCTATTTTAAAACTTTTTCCTTTGGTTTCATAGTACTCTTATTTTTACATGGTCAAGTCTCTACTATTAAAAGCATCCTTTAAGCTTGCATCAGTTGTTAGGGTTGCCTTGTGTCATGCTCCTTCATGGCTTGTTTCTAAGTAGTTGTCACTGGGGGAGTCAATGGGAAAATGGTATAGATTATGATCTGTAGAGGTAGTATGGAAAAACAAGTAAAATAATACATCATCAAAATATCAATATATAATTTGACTTTCACCACAACTCTATGAAGTAGGCAGAATCTTATTTCAAAGAGTACATTTAGAAGTTTTCCAGGGTACACACCCCTTGAATGATAGGATTGTTGTCATATATACTTACATGTCCATTAGAATTTTATGATGTTTCTGGTTATATATACTTTTTAAAAAATTTATTGAAGTTATTCTCTAATTTTAAATACTGTGATTTTGTTAGTTTTTTCTTATGAATGTTTAAAAAGAAATTTGCCTTGTCGTAAAAGATGCCTTATTTATCCTGTAAGTATACTGTGTTAGTTATTTGTCTCAAATTAACATTTATTCGGTCAGTCTACTAAAGTAATAGTATTAATACTATTGTTAAAATAAGATTATAATTATTTTTGACAGTTTCATCTTTTATCGGTAAGCCAAAACAAAGAAACATCAAATCAGACTCACATATTAGAGACATTACCTAGAATTCACCTTTACTAATAGTTTTGAGGATATATGCAATCAGAAGGCACAGGTGGAAGCAAGGAGAGATCTGGGACTCTGCGTGATCCCACAGTTACCTCATAGCAGAGAGCATTTAGATTTTGAAACTTTGCTGTTCTGTAACCAAAGATTGTGTAGCTTACATGATTTTTTCCAGTGTGCCATGCCTTATAAATCCATAGATTCTGGGTTTGTTAACTGTAAGCATCCTTAATACGGAACATCTTGCATTCTTCAGATAAGGACTTGCCTCCTAACCAAAATCATTAGCCTGTTTACCAGGAGGACCAGTTATCAGAATATTAACAAGGAGATTAAACTCCCATCACCTATTTGTCCCTGGATTTCCTCTTGGTAAAGGAAGTGAAAGGATCTCTAGACAGCTGTTTTAACTCTTCCCTCTGATTTGTAATAGTCTTCCTTTGGCTTTTTTTTTTCTTTTGTGTTTCCCTCCAACTTTTTGGAAAATATTTTAAACCTATAGAAAAACTGTAATGCTGTAATATAATAATAGTACATTGTCTCACATCCATGTTTTTCCCTTTATTGGTGATACTCAGTTCCAATCACTTGGTTTACATGTTGTCTGCCATATTTCTCCATTTTAAAGGCACCTTTTTCTTTTTAGAATCATTAAGTAATCTGTGAGATGATAACTTTAAGACTATAAGGATATACTGTTGTCTTTCACTCAGTGACTCATGTTCTACGGCTGGATCAGTTAACACTTTTTTATTTCCATTTCTCAGCTGGGATTTTTTTTTTTTTCTCTGATAAGATTTTAATTCATTGAATTTTTTTTACATCACTGAGAATAGTGCTAATAGCCGTTTTTACCTGTGGAGGGGAAAAATGTTTCTATTTCTTGGTTCTACGGATGTCAGGTAATTTGGGATTGAACCCTGGACATTATTAGGATTAAGTAGTAGAGATTCTGGGTTTGATTATTTTTCTTCAGTAAGTGCTTATTTCAGCAGTTAT